AGGTCGGTAGTTATATGCCTTGAGCATTCATTTTTTTACCCGTAATTGTTTTTATATGTATATATGTGTATAATATAATGTAATATAATATAATAAGCGCCGTGCTGTTTGCTGGTTTTTCTGCGTATGAGAGGAGGATGCCATCTACTCTCTTGTACTCGCAAACAGTTGTCGTTCGTTGGTACCTTCCAACTAATTGGCTAACTGTGGTCTTGACGAGCTGCCATACAAAGATGTCCAGAATATTGTTCATTAAGTGAAATAACAGGGATAAGGAAATCTATCGCGAATGTCACCAACTTGCGAAACTATTGCTTGCTCCGTCCTTTGTAATCAGTATGATAAATCATGGTCATCGCTCGGAATGAGCGGATGCCTGGAAGTAGTAGTACCAGTAGAACGGTAGTGCAAAGTTTTTTCCTTAAGATTCTTAAAATTCCAACTTCTGAAATACAGTGTTTATCGAGAAATTGTCAAAAATTATCGAAAAATTAGCACCGTACGTTGTGTGCAGCATAATTTTTGACAAGCAACACTTTGTAGTCTTAGTAGCTCTTGGGTATTGTATTGAATGAAAGGACTCAAAACCACGAAGTACACTTCATAATATTTTTTGTACAACTTGCATAGCTTCATCAAATGCTGACAGCAATATGATTGGATGGTGGGCGAACGAGTTTTTTTGTCACAAATAGGAGTTGTCTATTCACAAAACATGATCGTGTGTACAGAAGATCGTAGAACGTGCATAGGATAAGGAAAGCTCCGAAATTCTTTCAAAATATACAGAAAACCTATTTATAGAAAGAAAATTGCTGTAAAAGGGGCGGAGCTAGCCAAAAATTGCGGTGGCGGCCGGTATGACCTCCATAGGCTTCAGAGTAAGTGAGCACAACGAAAAATTAGATGTTGTTCACTTTGGTAGAAAAGCGAAATTAGACGTCGTGACGAAAGTGCTCAAGAACGCAGTGGTTGGATATGCCTTGTACTACAAATGCGGTTGTTATCAAACCTCCCTTCCCTTCGGGGATGGCAGATTGCGATAAGATTTGTCAGGGATGGTAGTAGCACTGACTCGATGCATCGATGGGCCATCACAAGTCATTGTACAAGACGATGTATTCTTTCACTTCTACGATGTCTGATGAAGTCTAATGCATGATGGGACTGACTTCAGGGACTGACTAACACCAAATACTTTATCTTTTATTGTTTTTAGACTATGGGTTGATATAAAAATGTTTATAATTCTGCAAAGTTCTAAACTCCTCAATTTCTCCACTAATCGAGAAATTATCGTTAATTGTTGAAAAACCAGCTTCATTGAGAATTTTTTGATTCTAGTCTAAACGTTCAATTTAGCACCTGAAAGGTTATAATTATCCAGTTCATACCAACGTGCAGTTCACAAGCTTATCCCTCTAGTCATTTGGTGCCAAGTGGGTGACAATTTTGATTATTGAAATTGTTATCTTATCAAAGTTACATTTAGAACGCTCTCATCATAAGAGAACGTGATATTTTCAATAAACAGCCTTTTTTTAACATATTTTTTTGGCCGCCACTTTTTAAGCACATGAGTTTTCGATAACTGAGTGTTGATAGCAGTGTTCGACAAAACCAATAAAAATTTCTTTGAAATTTACAACGTTTACTTTTTATTTTCTGCCCTCTATTATTTTTATGGCAGGGTAGTAAGCGAAATACAACTACAAGATTACTGAGATATTTGCAAAACTCCGGACCGTAGGTGTCTGCACTGGGGAACGAACGCGCTATTGTATGATTTGTGATCAGACACTTGCGGTCCGGAGTTTTGCAAATAGCTCAACAATCTTGTAGTTGTATTTCTTTGAAATGTTCTTTTTTCTTTTCGGTGTTTTGGCAAACGCATTCGCGACCGTTTTGGTTTTTCGACAAGTTTCGGTAATCGTTTAAGCAAATTGTCATTAGTTCGTTCCTGCTCCTGACTAACCAAGTCATCTATCAGTTTGGGGTCAGTGAATTAGTAGCAGACTCTCACGGAGAATAGGAACGACATACTAATAGGCTACTGCAAGTTATTTTTAGGTTAAAGGTCACTTCTGCGATGGCGAATGCTACATCCGTACGGGATCAGTCAGTGCAAAACGCTTATTTACACTTTACGGCGTTCTTTTTCTTTAATTTTTGCAAGCGTTTCATCAGTTTTTCCTTAAAATATCCATATGCGCTTTGTTAATTCAATTCCGAACTTGAATTTAGAAAAGCGGCTATGCTAAAGAGATAGGATAATCTCGAATGTAAGCAAGGAAGACACACTCAAATTGGGGGTCACGGTGAAGTCCTGATACGCAGGACCATTGTAGAAGGACATTCACCATTTGTTTTCGCATCACTTAACATACTTTCGTCCCCCAACTAACGTCATTGGCTCGTAAAGGGGCCCTGTTTTATAAGTGGTGCATAAATATGTGATAAAATATCGCTTTTTATAATAAACGTGTCCTTTAACTATCCAATCGGACTGTTACCTCTTGTAACTAACAAAGAGGAATCTCAACAAGCCAAGAAGGATGGTTTTTCAGTTTATAAGATTGTACCAGCTAATTGTTTTTCGCTATTGTAGAACCAGCAACCGACACCTCCATCGATGCGACCGATTCCACCAGAAGTATCACCACCGTCGATGTACACTGAAACTAAACCGACACCCTTTTTGCACACGCCGAATGTAAGAAACCAATCCCAGTGCTGTTTAATCTGGATATGTCGTATAAGAGAAGTATAACGCTTTCAGAGTCTTCGGAGGTCATTTATTATGTATTTAGTCATTTCTGTTAAACGAATGGAAACGTACTAGTTAGTTTGTACTTTTAGGTGGAACTTAAAAAGGGCTAGTTTTTTTATTTGTAACAAATTTCCACATAGGTGAAAGTACGAAAACTAATAGTAGCTACCGTTTTTGTTGAGCAACAATTATTTTCAGAGTAATGACCACACAATCTCTGCTTATGAGAGCTATTCGTCATGTGTCACCACCGCGATCCCCGTGAAAGTAGAATCACCAGTACCGTTTCAAATGAGTCAAACCCCGTCTGGTTGCAGTATTCCCGATCATATATCGCCTAAACAGAGTTCTCTCGAAGCTACTACCACCAAAGAAGAATTGCTACGGCTATTGGTAAGTTCTTTCCGAAGCAGCTATATAAAGGCCAAGGTTCGGCTTTTACAGGAACTCACGAAATTCTGCCATTTAAGAGTCGTCAGGTTTTTCTGAACAATATTATAAACGGATTGTTCTATGTGTGTTCAAAAAATAATGTCAGTTCATTCTTTTCACTCTTGGTGCTTTGGTTTTAAGTAGAATCATAAGCATTTGAGTCCATTATATACCAATTTACAACTTAGACTTCTTTTTTAATTTTTACTTTTTCGTTTTTAACATCATTTGTGGTTTAAGTGTCAAAGTAAGCGTAGAAGGAATGGAAAATCGAGTATAGAGATGCTATACAATACACGCCTAGTCGAAAGTTCGATCCCGCCGCAAGCCAACTAAGTCTCCAATCCCTCCGATGTCTGCAGTTTTGTACCAGAGGTCTCTATGAAAAACGACTCAACCAAGATCTAACGATATTCATAATGAAAGGAAATTTTTCATATGGAAGCAAAACCCACTCTTAAGTGCGGAGGCGTTCGTTACTGACGGAAGCAAAAAAAGACGAACCGAGTAAAAAAAAGTGCTCGCATTCGCATAATATGTGAACTCTCGTCATATAAACAACTAAATACAAACTTAGACGTAAATCCGAGGAAACAACTGGCATTGTCAACGTTGTATCTGACCGTTGAGGCGTTAGTAATTCTGTGATATAACGTTCATTTCAAAAGTTTCATGTTCTGAACGAATAACTTGGCGATCGTAAAGGTAGTTAAATACCAACTGTTGCCGAAGGTGATCATGTTAAGATGCTAACTGCAGTATCACTTTATTACCAAAGGATAAAACTTTCGGTGTTAATCAATCCCTCAAGGATGCGCCATGCATTCAACTTCATTAAGTATCGTTATAGGCGACTGAATACGTATCTAGCTTTAAAATGACTTATCGTTGCCTACCGATGTGTCGAATCAGTCCTGTCATCCTCCCAGAGAGGTTTGCTACCAATCTGTCGACGATGGACGGGTGGAAAGCTTGCTGAACCTGGGACGCTGGATAGATCTCATATGTATTGGAGGGCGCCTCTAACCACTACGCTACACGCGCCTATACTTCATTGTATATCCCATTATCTCTATATTTTTAATAAATCTGCTCTCTTCTTTTTTGTGTGAAAAGACCATGCTTCTCAATGAAATGCAGCGAAGAGTTCATTCATAAAAAGTAGATGAAGCTCGAGGCAGTGGTTGGTCAAGGATCAAGTGCCGAAACGTTTCCTGATTCGTTGTTGCTGAGATCTTCTTACAACATTGTTATTACTTCCTCGTGTTTGTTATTTGAGTTATCCACGATAAGTTCTTGAATCATGGGAAAATCATTATAGCAGAGGAGTATTGCTGATTGATAGAATGCCTAACGAACTTTGTGAGGTCTGTAAGAAGCACCAGCAAAACCACTGCATGGCTACACATTTAACAACCAAAGCTGCAAAAACTGGAAGAATAGGAATATGAAACTCTTCTTGTCCTAGAACACGCACCGACCCATCGCCAACTGATTATCATTTTTTCGAGTAACTTGTTAACTACTTGTTGAAGAATTGTGGGAATTACTCCCCATAAAAAGTGGAAGTTTACCGTGGTAAAATCAGTATACTTGCCCGTAGCTGTCAAAATGTGTAAGTTCTAATGTACATTATTCTTACTAATCAAGTATGCCGTAAGTTGAGAAACGTTTATTTGAAGCTGAATGTTAGAAGCTAGAATTTGTTAAACAACATGATAAAGGGGAACGAAAATGCACGCTGTTAATGCGATTCAGCGATCCGAAGCTTTTTAACGGTTTGCCCATCCGTCGTCTAATGATTCGTTTCCAGATGAATATGTCACCAGGTCAGGTGGAACGACTGAAAACTAAGCGAACGAACACCAGCCGATATCGTCCATCTATGGTCACGACTAGAACCCATCACAGTAACGAGGGTTGGCCACAAGATGACGACACGGGTGATGAAGATGAAGACATCACTGTGAACGAGCGTCGACGGAAAGGTGGGAATGGATGTTTTAGATTCCCACTGAATTCACAGAAGGATGAAGTATGGTAATTGGTTTTTTGTCAATATTCAAGCAGAAAAGCCTTATGTTAAATTTTTATAGACATAGGTCATAGAAGGATGTTGAATATCAAATATGACAGTCCTTTATTTTGTAAAACTTATGGAGTTCTGTGCTATGTTTTCACGTATAGGTTACGATGCGAAATACAACCATAGGGATGGTGCTTAGATGAACAAAACCCGGGACCCCAATTAGGCGTCGAACCCGGGATTGCTTTTACCGAGGCACGCGCGCTATCCACTGCACCAGTCGAAACCCTTGCTTTGCTTTTTTTCAGTTAGTTTTCTACTCAATCGGTGCTATGGCAATCACCTGTCAACGGAAATGATCTAGGTAGCAAAAATCGGTATCCAACCCAGCTTAAGCTGAAGCTGCATTCAAGGTCACAATGTTTAAAAAATGTAAAAACAAGACCCAGAGAAAGTCAGGGTCTCACCATTGTGGTTATACTTCATATCCCTGGTTATACCCTGCCATGGAAAAAGAGTAGTCGCTAAATAAAAGTTAAGGCGAATATTTTGAATGTTTTCCTGTTACCTTGTTTTTTTTTTAGAACGGCCCAAAAGTGCTACTTTTATTTAGAAATATTTTCCGTCATTCTTCTCTTAAAATTCTCTAGGTCTAAGAAAACAACACAAAAACGTAGAAAGAAACAAAGGTCAAACGAAAAGACCTCGAACCTTTGAGTCACTATGTACTTTTTCTCATGTGATTTCGGTCTCGAAGAATATACAGCTTTTATCGTATATTCAATCTATACCGTTAATTTTGATATTTGTTAAGACCTTGAATTGATGCTGTTTCAGCGGAAGCCTAAAGAAACGTCGTGACGATTCGGAAACGTTCTGGCACGACGGTCTTATAACTCTAGTGAAAAAAGAGGTCTGGGCAGCTCGAAAAATGCCTTCCGAGAAAACAGTGGATACGCATGTAGTGCAGTGGTTGGAGAACTGCTTTGCCATACACACTACGGCTTAGTTTCTAGTTCTATTCCGAGCTCATGGCTTAACCAAACCCAACCTGCTGTCTCTTCGGGGACCAAAAGGATGTTGTCGAATTTATCTGGGAGGATGAAGGCACTGAACTAGTATATCGTTAAACGATCACCAATCATTTTACAAAGAGTTCTTGGAAAATGCAGCATTTTTACATACCCACCAACCTAATGAAAACATCACCAGTTTCAAATAGTAAGAATAGTCCACCAGTACTGCGAAATTCTGTATCAAATAGCTTAACGCCAACGCGTCAGTATTCTTTCAGGACCTGTATCGCAACGTCGTACGGCTCATAATCTTATCGAAAAGAAGTATCGTTGCTCCATTAACGATAGAATCCAATATCTGAAGACAATACTGAGTGGCAATGATACTAAGGTTTGGTTTGGCATCAAGACAGTTACAAGTACTAAGGGGAAATCTTTCTAGCTTAACTCTTAGTTGCTTTTATTTATTCAACGTGCAAAAATATACTATGTAGGGGCACTGGCATGTAACTTTTTTAATTAAAAATAATCTACACCGGTAGCGTTCCCACCTATGGACTCGATTCACTGCATGGAATTTACGCTGTTAGGATAGCAAAACGTCCAATGTCAACTCTAAAGTATAAGCGATTTTGACACCAAACAACTTTTCGGATTTTCCAGTTGAGTAAGTCGGCGACGTTGAGAAAGGCAATCGATCACATCGAAAAACTGGAAGCTGAAAATCGTCAACTAAGGCTTGAAGTACACCGTCTCACCGCGATGCTACGTAGCCATAACATTGAGGTTTTTAGATTTTGGATTTTCGAGTCTATTCCATTCAATATTTGCTTATTTCCACCATCCCATTACCATTATTATCATTATTATTTACAATTTAAAGACACTACCAACTCCACCAATTACGATGGGATCACCGGCACTGAGTAGTCCATCAACGTCGTCAGCCAGTGTACACTCGCCTAGGGCCATTGTTCGTTTCCTTCTTTTTATCCTTCGAAGAAAAACGGTGAAATTAAAATCTGTTCAATTTGAAGCATCTTTTCAAACACGATGTCCGAATAATGAATTCTTCCTTAAGAGAGAGTCAACTGAATTAACTAAGCGATTTGACAATTTGTTAGTTGTTGTCCCGACTATTCTGCTCGGGTTTTTGGAGCTTTTTCTCTCTTTTCTCTCTCTTAATATAAATCAATTCTTCGTCAAGAGAGGATCAATAAATCAATATATCCAAATCTAGACTTCGCCAACGGTATCGCCTACGTTGCCTGTGAAGGGCATAAAACGACCGCGAACAAATATGGAACAGGTGATTCTTTTAGATAGAGCTCTTTTGGGCCAAAACACTTCTGAACTGTTCTCTCTTTTTTTTCTAAGCATGGTCGTTTTTCTGGTATGGAAGGTAAAACGAACTTAGGAATTTTTCGGTTATTAACACGTAGAATCCGTCGACTAGTTGTGTGGCTGTAACAACAATTTGACGCCTATTTTTTTTTTGCCAAGTTTGCTATGAGTTGACGTGAACTCATGCGGCCCATTGGCCTCGCTGGCGACTGAGGTCGACCCTTTTGTTTTACTTTCCGCTCTATAATTTAGTTTTTCTAGTTCAGCAATCGCGAGGTTTTTTTGTGTTTTTCTACGGAAGTAAATGTATGCTGTTTAAAAACCTCGCGATTGCTGAACAAGAAAACGACGGATTCATATTCCAATGTTAATAGAAATAAATTAATAGAGGTTAATAGAAAGTCGATCCTGGGAACTATTAGTTTTTCTACCGCTGGTAATTTCTGTATTTTTTGTTTTCTACATACCACCTATGCTTTGTTATGTCTACGACTACGCTCTTGAAACACCGCTTTTGTTTGTGATGAAAAATAAGTGGTCCTGCTACTGTTCCATTGATATTTAGTAGTTGGGTTTGCAGTATTTATGAACAGTATGTCGGAGTTTTTATGTCCACCCATTCTCTGTGATAATAATGAGCCGTTATAGTAATTGGTAGTAAAATTTACTACTCAAAGTTTTTTTTATATACCTAAAAAATCACGGGCTGATTTTTCAACGTTTGTCATGGACCTCGAATTTATGGTCCGTGAATCCACGAACTCTGTCAACTTTTCTTTGGGCTTTTCCTTACGTTATTTCAGTATATCTAGAGTAATCCCTAGCAATGGTGTCATTGATGATCGACGCATTTGCAGGAATTGAAATTTGCTGTAGCTTTAGCAAGCTTGACCTTTAGCTCTTCAACAAGGCTCCTTCTTTTCATGGAAGCTTGGATGAAAAGTTATGCTTCTTGTGGGCGAAGCGCAACATTTCTTGCAGTTGATGATGGCTGTCGGCAATGCCAATTAGATTTGCTGAAGCTGTAGGTAAACCTAACGGACGCTTTCTTTTTATTTCCTGCTATGCGTTATTCATCAATTCCCTCGCACTTGGCCTCTCCTCAGTTACTACATTTTTTTTCTCTCCCTTCTCTTCGAACTTTTTTTCAGTATATTTCTCTCGGAATTTTTTTTCAGTTTTTCCTCTTATTTTTTTTAAAATCTTTTCTTGCTGTTTCTTTTCGTTTATTGACGTTGCCACTTTTGAATCTTAGGGGGATGGGTAACGTAATGGTAGTGATGTTGGTCATTACGGGACGGCTTAGCCTACTCAGGGCCTGGTTCAACCGCGATCGAGGTCCATCACAGCTGTCATCCCTCTGAAGTTGGCGTGATGTTAGAAAACTTGTCTGAGACAAGCAGAGTCCCTCTAATCCCATATGGGAACGCCCTAGCACGACTATCTCTGGATTCTAGGGGGAATCAATTCGACCAGCACTCAACGACATTCGTGACAAATACGAAAAATTTCTCAGACAGCTGCCAAACCCATACGCAGTAAGACTTCAAAGACCTTCATGGATGGTGGATGCGAGGAAAACAATCGAATGCACGAAGTGCTGCATTTCCACAATGTGATACATATGATATTGAGTCATGTAGTGAATAAATGAATAGAACAAGTTTTATTTGACATTCAAATCTTCAAGAGTTGAAATACAACTTCGAGATTTTAGTCCTAATAACAAGCACAGCAGCGAAAGCATTAACTGTGCATTGTGCAACACCATATCGTCTTGCTGGACCAAATTCCACTCGCTCAACCGCTTCGACTTCCTAAATACGAGCTTCAGCGGAACATTGCGTTTTGTGAGTTTCACAAAACCAAAACTTCATCGTGTTCGAGCAAGAGAAGCTGTATCTGTCTGAGAAGGGCACATTTCACCGATCTTTATTTCATCAAATTAAATTCGCTGCCAGCATAAATACATTTGTTCAAAATTTTCAGGCTGAAGGGTTTTCGGGCACGAAGCAACTCGGGGCATGATTAGCCAGTGAACCATGGTATAAATGTGGCTTATGTGTAAGGAGTGCTGTGTGTAGGATTTCTAGGTTGTGAAGATTGCAATTGCTGCGTAAAAAGTGCAATTTGCGGAAATTGTTTAAATTTTTATTTTACATCTGCAGACATAACGCATGACTGTTTTGTAGTCGATCTGTTTCTTCACATTCATTATCCACGAAGGTCTTGGAATGTTGGTCGAGTCGACCATTCCTTGAATCCTAGAATAGCCTTCGTAGAGTATCCCCACGTGAACCGAAGAGAGTTAGTCGGTCCAAGAGAGCTCTGCTGCCAATGTTTCAATCCCGGCGCAAAAAGGTGCCTGATAACCCTGGGTCTGCATCGAACCAGTGCGTGTTTTGTTTGTACCTTACTCGTAATGAGCGGCACCACTACCACTACGCTTTGCGTTCACTATTTACAAGAACTTAGATTTCAAAAGGAACCTATTTAAGATATGTTTATAACATTAATAGAATCATATGAGAGTAAGAGTTGGAAATGAGATATTACGTTGAAACACATTGATGAACGCCTGGCTTTCTTCTTATCGCTCATTCTTGTTACGTCGACCTTTACAACAATTCGCTTATAGAAGTCTTCTTGTCTTCTTAA